ATCCCTGCTTGTCTCATACCACCTAGGTCTCTCCCTCATACAACTATTACCAATTTCTTGGGTGTATTAGGGAAATAGTAAAGGGCACAAGGGGAAAAAATGAAAAAAATTGACTGCTATTTGGGATTAATTTTAAATGAATTAAAAAGCATTGGTTGCATTGGTTGTTCATGACTTGGAAGACTTAATATGAAGATGACAATACTCCCCAAACTGATCTACAAATTCAACACAATCCATGTCAAAATTTCAGCTGTACCTTTTCTTTTTCCAAGTTTGACAAGCTGCTTCTAATAATCATTTGGAATTATAAGGGACACCGAATGGCCAAATTAATCTTGAAAATGAAGAACAAAATTGGAGAACTCACACTTGCTGGTCTCAAAACTTACTACAAAGCTACTGTAATCAAGACTTTGGCCTGAGAACAGATACAGAGATCAATGAAATAGAATTGGCAGTTACAATAATTTTCAAATAATTTTCTGCAAGGATGCTAAGACAATTCAAGTAGGCATGAGGGATCTTTCTGGAGTAATGAAAATATTCTAAAATTGTGGGGATGGCTGTCCAACTCTGTAACTTTACTTAAAGCTCATTGAAATGTATACTTAAAATAGGTGAATATTTTAATATGAAAATTATACTTCAGTAAAGGTGCTTAAATTTTTAAACTCATTATTTATACATAACATTAAATTATACTTTATGATTTTTTTCATTCAAACAGTGTTTATTTAATAATATTATTTACATTTACCTGTAATAATAAGGAAATTTTTAGAGAAAAAGATTATCAGAATACATAGTTGAAATCACTTAGGTAAAATAAAATGTCTTATGGTAAAAATCTAATTATATTTCCTACAAAATTAAAATAACTGTTAGCACCCTTATTAAGTACTTAAATAGCATGGGTAAAAGCTTAACTGATGTTAGATAGGGAGTTCAAAGTTATACAGTGATAGAAAATACTAGAGGCAAAAATCTGATTTAAATGTTTCATTGGGTGGCATTATAGGAGTGAAAGCAAGCCATTTTCAAGAAGACTATACACAAATTCAAAGTTTAAGAAAAAAAATCCAGAGTGCAAAGCAATTATCAACAGAGATTAATAACAAAAAAGATAATTTGTGTCACTATTTTAACATCTGCCTGAAATTTTTAATTGTCCAGCTTGAAGTGATTTTAAAATATAGCTCTGAAATTAGGGGAAAACTATAGAATTTAGTGTGTATAATATGTGACTTAATCTTGAAGACATTAGAAACTTTCCTATTCCTCTTCCTCAACTTGAGAATTAATCTGAGTCAAATCTTTTATAAGATGTAAGGGTAAGTCTTCAATCCACAAATATTAATTAAAGTCCTACAATATTCCGGAGACTACGGATATAGTTATAAACAGGACATATATATTCTCTGCCCTCCTAGAGCTTATTTACTATTATGAAAAATAGACTTTACACAAATAATCATATAAGCAACCATCTAATTAGTATAATTATGAGTTATGTTTAGTAGTATATCTACTTTATTCATTTACTCTTTCATTCAATCACCACATATTTGTTGAATATCCACTATGATACAGCCACTATCTTCAAGTGAAAGCAAAAAAGAACAACAATTGTTTTCTCGTTGGTAGGTTTGTCTCTCGCAGGGAGATGGATTAGCAATTTCAAATTTAATGTTCGGGAAGGAAGGAGTTTAGTAGCTGGCCTGTGACTAATTTATTTCTCATTACTACGGAAGAAAGGAAAAAGGAAGATGACCTAGTCTAATCTCCTTGTAAACATGCTGATAAGAGTCTTATGGTTTATCTATGGAATCTATAGAATTATTTTTGCTGGATGTCACTGGTTTATGATTGCTTATGGTAAACAAATCTAGAATCTGTGAATTTGAGGCAATGTTCCCTTAAAAAAGTCATGCAATATATGGCTGTGTACACAAATATCAAATCATTATGTTGTGCACCTGAAACAAATATAATGTTATATGTCAATAATACCCCAATTAAAAAAATTATCTAAATATCCTCATTAAGAAGATAAAAAAGATGACCAAATGAAACTTAAAGTAAATAGAAGGAAATAATAAAGAGAAGAGTAGACTTCAGTAAAATAAAAAACAATCAGAAAATTATCAAAGGCAAATGTTGATTCTTTGAAAAAATTGAAAATAATGCTAACCCCCAGCATGACTGATTAAAAAAAAGAAAACACAAAATACCATATTTATTGCAAATATATTTTCCAAATCTATAACCTGCAATTTATTTATGGTCTTTTAATGTTCAAAAATTATGTGCAAATTCTGTGACCAGCATTGTCTATGAATCATTTTTATTATTTCTTTCATACATTTTGTCATAGAAAATCCTTCCTCATCTTGAGATAAATATGCACACATATTTTCTCTAGTATTTTTTTATAATTGTGTTTTTTTATACTTAATTCCTCAATACATCTAAAATTTATCCTGGTGAATAGTATAAGGTAAGGCTACAAATTGATTTTTTCTGATCACATCAATTTTCCCTTTCATAGCTTTCAATTTTAAATGTCTAACAGCTGTGAAAGAGCATCACTGCCTAAATTTAATGACTGTAGATAAATCAAGTGCTAGGAGAAAGAAATCAAACCACGGCAGAGGCAATAGAATTGAGGATCTTTTCATCAACTGCAGGTTGGTAAACAATTGATTGGAGCCATTGTTCCAGGGAATTTAAGAATCTTATATTTCCCAAGAATCACACAAAGGACAGTGCAATTTTAATTGGAAATAGTGTTATATTAATTAAAAGATCTGGAAATTTTTAAAATTCTAATGTTTTGGCTGATTCAGGTAAGTGTAGGGTTTATAAATCATAACAAATTTTAGATTCCTAAACTATCTTAACATTGTTAAAATTCTCTAATTCACTCAAAGGTGAAGACACAGACTCAAAACAACACCAATATTTTCAGTGGTTTAGCTTGTGAAAAGCTAAAGCTGCTTTTTTTCATTGAAATACTTACCACGTATGATACTAACAACAAATGATATATAAATGACAAATAAATAGTTTTCCCCTACCGTAAGAGAATCATGCTTAAATACCCAAATTGACATTTTCCTACATTCAGGGAAGGAAATCATAAGACTTATTTTATTTCACTTATTTAACATGTATTTATTTGTATGAGGCTCATATCTTCAATATTTTCTTCAGTGGAGAAAAAGAACAGTAAATGTGCCCTTTTATACAATAACAGGATACCTGATAATATTTATACTTCCACCAAACATTTCCATTTAGCTAATCAAGTTCTTTTAATACACATCTTCTGTGATTTAAAAAAGAAAGAGATTGTTGTTTTGGGGTTTTTTTTTTTAACATAGTGACTTGTGACTGTTGGATTTTTCCTCTTAGTATTTTGCTTTCCTTTCATTTGAGCAAAGAATTTAATTCAAGCAGGATAATGTTACAAGAAAATAGAAAAATCCTGATTTTTCTCTCTGGATTTCAGAGAGATTTCAACTTTCAAAAACCTGAGGCCCAAGATAGGTCAGAGATTTTGAGCTGTGTTATAGGTAGAATAATGGTCACTCAAATACGTGCACATCCTGTTCCCTGGAACCTATGAACATGTTACCTTACATGGCAAAAAGGATTTTGCAAATATGATTACATTAATAATCTTGGGCTAGGGAGACTATTCTGGACTATCCAGGTGGGCATAATATATCACTAGGGTCCTTATCAGTGAAAGAGGAAGACAGCAGGCCAAGAGTCAGAAAAAGAGATGTGAGGATGGAAGCAGAGTTTATAATGATGTGATTGCTGGCTGAGAGAGACAAGCCAAGGGCAGCCTCTAGAAACTAGAAAAGTCAAGCAAAGAAATTCTCCTCCAGAGGCCCCAGAATGAAGACAGCCCTGACAATACCTTGGTTTTAGCCTAGAACTCTAAATAATAAATCTGTGTTGTTTTAAGACATTAAGGTTGTGACAATTTGTTGCAATGGCGACAGGAAAACTAACACAAAATACAAACAAAACATTTGGAGTAAAAATACACAGAGAGAAGACCCCTTCACTCCCTACACCCCAAGCTCTCCAGCAATTCTATGAAAAACGTAACAAAGACCTGGAAAGGTTTCACCGATACAGTACATCTAGGCTCATCAAAACCTGATCAGCCTTCCAGGAGGATTCCCCAAGCATTACACTAAATTAGCAAAAAGACACAAAGTCAGAATGGTCATGCTAACTTAAACCATGGCATATCAACTGTAACCTTTGAACTATGATACATATTTAATAATTGCATCCCCGTTTCCTAAAATCTCGATATAACAAATGCTTCTGGAACTAATTTGGAGGTAGGAGACAGTAAATGCAAAAGAGACTGCGATTAAAATTTGCTGGCAATCCAGAGAGATAGAATATTCATATTGAACATTAAGTGGAGCAAAAAAAAAAGAGTATGTTTCCCTATAAATGAGTTTTTAAACTGTGATTCGTAACTGCTACATCTTCCTTAACTAGGAATTCCTTGATTTTACACCACAGATGTTTTCTTAGCATATAGTAGATATACAAAAAAAATTTACTATAGATAATTCCTTAAAATGTAAATCAACTATGAAACCATGCTTCCAGGGATAAACCACTTTCCAATTATAGTAACATCCTGATTGTTCTCTAGATTTTCTCTGAGTTCTACACATGTCACTAGCTGTGAAAAACAAAAATAGACATTTTAATGAGTATCTTGATATTGAGTTCAATCAAAAAGTTTATCCCATAGTTTCTACACACTATGTTTTTGCCTTATTTTAATATATGAGCCACCAAAAAGGAAACAAGAAAGTCTGAGTTAAAATCCTATTTATCAGTTTTACTAACTGGATATATTTAAGCGTTTTATCTACTCCCTTGTATGCCTCAAGGATAAACAGGATAAATATCTGCCTCTGTTTATTTCTCATAAAGATGTCATAAACAATAAGTACAATCCAAGTTTTCAAGTCTTGACTAATCTTTGGGTACAAGCAAGACCAAACTAACAGAAGTAACTTAGATTTTATTTGCTCATTTCTCCCAACTCCATCATATATAGAACATTAGACCCTAGTTCCTTTAAATCCCCAAAGCATCTCACATATTTATGAACTGCTATCTTATACTCTGCTGTGCCTTTTGCATAGTGCTGTCCTCTATCTCAGAGCCATTAACTGACACTGACTGTCCCCAGATGATTGTGACTCTGCAGCTAAACATGCTGGGGGGTGGGGACATACAAACACACTAGTTGATCTCCTTTAACATTCCCAGCTACCAGTGTTATACAGGCACACTGACAACAGGAACAAGTCATATTTTAACATGTTCTCTTCCTCCATACAACAAAGTAGTAATAATCACAACAGGAAATGAATATATTCTACAGGTCAACTAAAAATTGCATTCTCAGACAAAACTATAACAACTCACAATTTGAACTTTGTTCCACTGCTGTAAAATTTAAACACAACTAAAAAGTGGGCACATAGAATAGCAGTTTTGAAATGAGTCAAGTACTACCTTCTTTATAGTCACTGAGCTATCATTGTTTACTTCAAGTCTAGTGTTTAAACACAGGAATATGTACAGATGCAAAACTTTAATATAGTTTCATTAGCACATTTTATTAGACTTATGTCCTGAAGTCTTAAAATTTAATCTGAAATGAACATTTTATTGTAAGAATTTAAGTGCTTTCATTCACAGTGCTTACCAATGTATACTATCCATAACACAAAAAGAATGTTTTAAAAAATATAGAAGTCTTTTACAAATTTTGAAAGGAACAACTAAATCATCTAGCAACAAACAAAATTATCCACTGATCCCCTGAAACTGATCACTCAAATAATTATTGACTAAAAAATCCATAAGTACTTTTATTGTTGAAAATAATAGCTTCTGTCTGCTATTAAGAATATATTTATATAATTATGCATATAATTACATGAGATTCATTTCATATTCAGATTTTTGACAAGTCACAATAAACATAAACCTAAAAAGCAAAGAATTTTGTATACTAAACTTTGAGTAACTGGGCTGTGGAATCTGAAGCTGAATTTTAGGAGCTTTTTCCTTTGTGGAAAAAGATGCAAGTATAAATAATTAAATGAATAGAAAATAAATGAAAACTTTTGGAATTGGTATAATCATAAATCTAATTATAAGGCATAACCCACACATCTTACAGATTTTTTAAGTATTTTATTACTATTCAGTAAATGTCTATTACTTGAAAATTTAGATTCTGTACACAAGTAACATGGAAGTTAAATGGGAAATAGGGCATTGCTTCATAATTGTGAATTTAAGTATTAGTAGACTTCTAAATAAGCATTCTGCTTTTAAAAAATCAGGAAAGGCATAGATCATTTAGCAAATAGCAGCTGTAGTCTACAAGACACACACTACAAGCATATGAACACACTTCAGAGTTAGTTTTGAAAACTCTTGACAACTCTTTTACCCTGCTTTCTCTTTACGGTATCTTTAATTAAATCTCTTCATGCTCTTAAATCCAAAAACATAAATATTGCAGTGCCTGTTTTCAGGTATTTTTTTTCCCAGAGAAACAAGTGAGTCTTCCCTACTTGAATATTGTCCTGTCTAACCTTAAAACTGCTTTGTGAGAAAAAAAAAAACTGCTCTGTGAGATGAATTCAATTCAATTTCAGTAATTTTCTTGAGTGCCTACTTCTGCATTTGGTGCTTGACAGAAATTGATATGATGTATCTTCCTTCAGCAAATAATAATAGCAAAAATTCCTTGAGTATACAGGGTATGCTACACACTATTAAGTGCTTTACTTACATTAACTCATTTAATTCTCACAACTACCTTCATTTTAAAAGGAAGGAAAGTGAAGCACTAAGAGAAAATTAAGCATTTGGCTAAAATTACGCAGCTGGTGAGAGGTGCAGGTAAGTCTTAAATTCAGGCTGACTCTTGACCACAATGACCACAATGCACACTGTCCTGCCCCAAGAGAAGTATCCCACACATACAAAGAACTATATTATAAGACATTAAATTACCCAAAACATAATAAAGGAAAGTGCCATGAAAGCACTGAGTCTTTGTATGTAATTCATTTCATCTAGGAAAACTGTGAATAGCTTTACAAAAGATAATGTTTGAGCTGAATAGTAAAGGCTGGGAGTAACAGCACAGCTGAAAGCAAAAGACATTTAAAGCCAAAGGCTCATCTTGAGATGACTGCCATGCCCTGTTTTAGTGGTTCCTGGACTCCAGAGTGCACAAGAATCACACTTGAGATGTGTGATTCTTCACGTCTATGCAGATTTCTCTCGTTCAGAGAGGCTGAAAATCCACATTCAGTAAGCCTTCAAAATGATTCAAATGCAAGTAATTTCAGGATTATACTGAGAAATACAAACCTAACCGACTTGAATCCCTGGCACCTACCTTCACACTGACTCCTTTCTGTAAGAAACCTCTTACCACCATCCTCACCCCAAGTAGAAAATTCTAAAACTAAGTCTTACCTCCCGCATGTAGAATGTAAGGAACATCGATGTAAACCGCAGGATCCAGCATCTATCATCCTCACTTGTGGTCCAGCCCTGATCTTGCACTTGACGTCAAATAACTTCAGTATTCTCCTATTCCCCATTTTTGTCCCCATATTCCCCATTTTTGTCCCCATAACTGATCCAGACCAGTCTTTTCACTGGTATAGAAAACTGAAAAGACTCCTTGTTCGAAGGTCTATATATTAAGTGAATTAGAATCCTTGGCTCTATAAAATATCCAGAACAACACCACTTCCAAAACAAGGGCCCTGAATACTATACTCTTTCCAAGGCCCTATCTATGGACTAGAGTTCTGATCCTGACCTGTAGCCCAGAGGTTAGAATACATGATACCAAATGAGTTTTGACACCAAAGTCTCCTTGCTTGTATTTCCAAGTGTCACCTGCTTCCAGATTGCCAAGCTATGCTCCACCTGTCAATTAGGATGACATCATTCATTAATTCTGTATGTACCCTACATTTAGTCCTGTTTTCCACATCTCTCCTAACCATGGGGAAATTTGGTGTGTGCTTTTAGCTAGGGGAGAAAGTATTATTTCTTTTACATTTTTTATAAATTGGTGAGGGTGATACACAAAAAGACAAAAGTAACCCGATATACACAAACCTAGGATGAATCGAGATTTTAGAACTTTCATTAAATCAGGCAATATTTGCCTTCAACAAGAAAAGTCATTTTTACACACGTATAATATAAAATTCTAAGCATTTCACTGTCTCTTTCAGATATTAAACTGGCTCTTTAAAAACATGACATTTATACATATTTTCCTAACTGCGGCATAATTAGGACAGCACTTAGAGATTGAACCAAGAAATAAGAACCAAGCTAGTGATAAAAAACAACTGATTTACTGTCAAATTTAAAAAGCCAAAGACAAAAAATGTGTTGCTTTTTAATAATATAGTTTAAGTTATAAAAGTGATATAGTCACAGGAAAATGAGAAAATAAATACAAGTTCAGAGGAAAACACCCATAACCTCACCACCTCTTCACAGCCAATGTTAGTATTTTGAGGCATATCCTTCTGTTTTTGTATTATGTTTGCTAAAGTTCAATTTCAATCAAGACCAAAACATGATTGATCTTGCATTCCTGAGAGAAAGGCCAGACTCAAATGTATAATTTATCAGTTTTTAAAAAGTGGAAAGGAGAGGATTCTTCCAAGGCTCTTAGAATTTTTAACCACATCAGGGAGGCAAAATGAAACCTACACAGGAGGGGGGAACTTTCAAGAGAAGATTTGGGGAGAAAGCTACTGAAATCACTGGGAATGCCCATCCCATACCTAAAGCTCAATGATGAAGGAGGGAAACCGGCTTCAACAGAATGAGTGGGAGAGTGTAAAGTGGGAGAGTGTAAAGCTGGAGTCTGACACTCAATTGGGGAAATCTAGAGGGTGCAAAGTCTGACTGCTCTGGTGGCGGACCCAGGTGAGCGACTGCTGCATGAGACTTGATCTCAACTTTTCTGAGTTGCTCAGGTTTAAAGATACGTGAAAATTTGCCATGTGAAAGAATGCTAGAATTGTCTTCGGTCTCTAGAAGGTTGAAGGGACTCCAGCAACAAGAAATTGGAGGTGGACTCAGAATTCCTAGGGGTTACAGAAAGTATCTCAGAAGACAACAGAATAGCAATTTTCATGCTGAGGCACAGCATGAAGAAGTTCCAGATACAAGGATCTGAGGAGTCCACCAAAGTCCTCCATGAAAGGGATCACGAGTCCACCATCTGCCAGCCCAGAGAGCCAAAGCCAGCTTACAGCACCAAGAGCTCCACTGAGAACTTTTTTATCCCTCCTTTCTCTCCTTTCTCCCAGGTGCATCAGTCATGGAAGGGCCTGACGTCAGGTTGGAAAACTTCAAATCAATAACAGGAGGTGGAAGAGAAGCTTTCCATACACCCTTCCCAAAAGCAAGTAGCCCACCTGAATGCTGTGCTGGCTGAAAGAGAATAGAGGATTTAAAGTTTGGAGTTTTGATTAATATAACTTCACACTCTGATTTTTAAATTGATATTGTGTTTTATAATTTTGTTCATTTTTAAGCTTACATACAGAGGGAGAAACTTTCTCCACTAAATTAATTTTAAAGGGGCTGAAGGAGACAAAAATAAAATTTCATTGATTCCATTCCTACAAGTTATGCTTTTATCAACTTAGTAGGCATATGTGAATATATTATGTGATGAAATGTTACGGAAACGACAGGCCAGCCAAGAAACAAGCACCACTCGGAGGGTTGGAGTACTCAGATGTATTATGCCAGCGGGCTCAGAGGGGCTTCTGCTCCGAAGCTCTGAGCACCTCCAAGACATGCGCATGAGGTTTTATAGGGTAAAGTACAAGCTTGGGGTATTTGGCCAATAGGCATGGAATAGCTTCAGCAGCATCATTATCA